ATTCTTGCATTCTTTATCTTTGTCACGTGACGTACGCTCACTGTGGGCATTTTAGACTGTAGGTGTATTTGGCAAATAGCTATATCTATATACCTAGCATGTTTAGTAGGTTGTTCAACTTTGTGCTTCTCCGCTGCTATTAGTGCTTTGTGGCAGGGTCAGCTTTATGGTTGCAGCAACAGAGATAGCTGGAAAGAGAGAAGCACTGATGAACTTAACAGCAACTAGTCAACTTTCTGACTGCTAACAAGCAGGACCCCATTTGCAGGTTTATAGTAGCAGCCAGGAATTGACTAACAACTGATTAACTGAGTCTGCTCTGCAGTGAGGTGTGAACAGCTGAGCATAGGCTGCTTTTTCATGAATTTGCCAGCATAGGTAATATGGCTTAAGCAATTTTTTAACCTTGACCTCAATAGGAAATGGTTTTTGCTGTGTGCACAATTTAAATAATGGCCCTGTTAGTTTTGAATGTATTAAGTTTATGATGGGGTAGGCAAAAAAGTCAAACCACTCATTGAAACATTCTCATTTTAAATAGATTGTTTTGTGTGGGTCTTGTGTGGCTTAGGGGTTTGCATGTTGAGCTCCTGGCCAAAAGGTTGAGCGCCCAAGGTTGGGTGTGGACCCAGAGGCTCAGCTGGGAAGCGGGTCCCCCGGTAAGCATGAAGAAAACATTTGACAGAACAAGGAGCAACAGTCTCAAGTTGCAGTACAGGAAGTTTAGGTTAGATATTAGGAAGAATTTTCTCACTAAGAGTGTAGTCAAACACTGGAACAGGTTACCCAGAGAGGTGGTGGAAGCTTCATCCTTGGAGGTTTTCAAGACCTGGATAGACAAGGCTTTGGCTGGGATGATATAGTTGGGGCTGGTCCTTCTTTGGGCAGGGGGCTGGACTAGATGTGACCTCCTGAGGTCCCTTCCAACCCTAACTTCTATGATTCTATGAAGTTAGGTGAAAAACTTTCTAATGAGAGCCAGTGCACCATGATTTAATCTCATGTTCTACAAACACAGGCTTCAAGTATACTTGAGTAACTTTACTCTTGTGAGTTAAGTGGAACTCTTTGTATTCCTCAGGTTACTTTCATGTGGTTGTGAAAGTGTAGGTTTACAACTGTGGAGGTAAAGTGCAGTCCTTTCATCTAAGAGTTTGAGGTCTAATTTAAGGCATGATGAATCAAGAGAGCCTAACAACT